TTCCTTGTAATTTAAATTCATGCGCTAAAGTTCTGGGGTCTGGACTCGGGCCTCTTATAGTGATTATGTGACGCATTTTTAACCTGCAGCTTGACTGGGTTGTAGTTTTTCGCTGACACAAAACATCGCCCTCGGATTCGAATTCTTGCGGCTGCAGCTCGGGATGCCAGCCTGTGCTACACGGAGGTGCTTTATGAATTTTACGACGTAGCAGAGGGTCGTAGTCAATCAGCGGTGTTGATAGGGTGGAAGGGACCGTTCCACCCTGAGTGTTTCAATTCTGAGGCGGGCCCGCAGCGACGGGAGATGCCGGCGCAGCAGCTGTTTGGGACTTAAGCCCGCAACTTTGCCCGGCCCCAAAGTCACCTTGAAAGAAGCATGGCATGCCAATCCACCGAAAGCCTTAGTTTAAAACAGTCGGAGTCGAGAGTTGCTGCTTCTCAGACACGAACATACGAATCGCATGGCGATGCCATGCTTCAGGGCTCGGCATAGATTCCCCTGAACTTTTGCACACTGTGAAGGTCACAGCTGCTCGGCACCCTGGAGCATGACTGTGTGGCATACGAGACCCTCGACAGCTGTTGTGGGGTTCCGCGGTGCGTGCTGTTGCTTGCGGTGCTGCCGAGCGCCTTCCATGTTCTGTTAGCGAGGGTGTTGGCTGGGCGCGATTTGAGGCAAGGCGAACCGCATGAACCTGAAGATGTTTTTCCCCCCACCCCCCCCCCCCACTCCTCCAGCCGCAAACTGGAGCTCGCTCTGCGTCACAGTCCATCTACTGCGTACATGCATTTTGCCACGCCTGCCCTGTGTTCTCGTCGTTAAGCCTGTGTCGTCATGGTTTTTAAGCTATGGCAAATTTGTTTTAGAGCCTCATGAGCTTTGATTTGCCTGCCTAGAAGAGGTGAGAAAGGCACGTCTTTAATCCGCACTGCGCCTTTCAAACAATTCTGGATTGTCCTCTTAAGACTCTTATGCCCATGAGGGTAAAACAGAGGGGGTCGGTAACTTGGGGGGCCAGCACAAAAATGAGACGAACCTATTGCGAACCCAAAAAGGCACAGCGAACTTCTGCGAAGCCTGCGGGGTTTCGAGGTGGGTTAGTGGTCGGGCGGGTTGTTGCACAAATCTCAGGAACGCAAGAGAAACAAGAGCAGCCCTTCTTTTCCACAAATCTGCAGCATCGACGAATGGAATGGCCCTGTACCTGCCAAGGGCAGGAGAAACTCTGCAAAAACAATGTTTCACTTCTGGCTGACAAAGCACTGCAACGCTCCTTTTTATGGCCCGGCCCCATCGATGGGAGTATGAAGAACCCGATACTCTTGAAACAATACTACAGATGACCCACAACAAGATCGTGAAAGGTGCCTCACTGAATTTGAGTCCTGAAGAATAGTTGAGAAGATTCTTGCTTGGGTTATCGGCAAGATGAACCACGGCTTTTAGCAATGAGTTCCGTAATGGACCTACCTTGTACGACCAGCCAATCAGGAATGACCTCAGAGTCATGGCCACGGCCCAGGCGTGACTCTATGTCAGCACTCACCCAGTCACGAACATTTTCGTACCAAACCACTTGGCGCTCAGCAATGGCGAGACGAGTTTGAAGGTTTGCTGCGCTCTTCTCCAAGGCGTCTTTCTCTGAGCGGAGGGACCCGAGCTCCTCCCTCAAAGCCACGCTTTCTGCACGAGCTTGGGCAGCTTCCTGAGCAGTAGCCGAGCGGGCAGGAATGAGCCCTGGTGAGTAGCAAGGGTGGTTGGGAGGGACCTGAACTGATGATGCTGCTGCAAAGGCTCTGCACACATGGGGCACTGGATGGGGATGTTCTCGTCTTCTGCATCCGAAAACTCCTCCTGAATTGATTTCTTGTCGCTTTCATCGATGCAGGACAAAAACCTTTAAATAAAAAACTCCCATCCCCAGTGACGCAAGGCAAACCAGTTTCCTGTTTGACGACAACCTCCTTCTTCACCCTCTCTTCCTTCCCGGCATCGAGGAGTGGAGGGGCCTCCGCCTCATCGCAGTCGACTGAAGGGCCTTTTTTTTTTGAGGCATAGAGCTTGTTTAAGGCAGCTCGCCTCTCTTTTGCTGTCTTGGCCGCCTTCACCGTGGGATGGTCCTCGTACTTGGACTTAACCCTCTTCCTTCGACTGGCCCGGTTCCTTTCGTACAACTTGGCCAAGGCTTTTCGGCGCTCAGCAGGAGGAAGGTCCGCGATTTCTGAGTCATACTTCGACACGTTCTTGCGGACCTTGGCTTTGGCCTTGGGTGGAGTCTTGAGGAACCACCGCCTCATCTTCTGACTCATCATCATCCTCATCATCCATTTTAATAGTCAGTGCGCCGACACTGGACTAGGCTGGCTAAGAAAAACCTCAAGTCAAGAAGTATGGCACTCAGCTATTATGTACTTTTATTAGAAAATATTAAAAAATGACTCTGTCTGTACTGTACTACTGTACTTCCTGCATTGAAGTGAAACCTTTGAATAAGCCAAAACAGAATCGCTGAAAGCTGCCAGCAAATACAAAGCAAGAGCAGCGCAACAAAGATAAACCTCTGACTCAAAACTGCTGGCTCACTGGCACGGGCGCCCGGACGGGCCCAGCGAGTCGGTGACCGTGCCTCAGCGTCACAAGAACATCCAGCTGTGACACTTCAATGGTGTGCTTCCAGAAAGTGACTGAATGCAATGCCTAGCTTTTGTTCTCTGGAGCGCTCGCGTGCACTGACTGAAGTGAAGCGAAGGTCCTCTGCCAAAATGTCTTTGTCCTCAGGCCACCCTACTCCGGAGATGTGATCTCTACTCAGAATATTATATTAACAATTCGGTTGATTCAATAACACCTGCGAGGATGAATCTGAAGGACAAAATGACAAACCACTGGAAACTAGTCCACTGTGACGCAGCCCGGCTGCTTATTATTCGCAGCCTCCTTGAGAGGAGAGGAGCCGGTCTTCGGCTTCGACTTGGCTGGGGAGGAGCCGGTCTTGGCGGGCTTGCTTGGGGAACGGGAAGAGCCGTCAACATCCAGCACACCGCCCTTGCCTTTGGGTGGAGTGGGCATCTTTGATGGCTTGCCTCGACTCTTGCTGATGGACGGCGACTCAAACCTCTTCTTGATCTTGTGCGGGGACGGTGAGGCATGGCTACTGGCCTTTGAGGACAAAGGGCTCGACGCGGAGCTGCCCTTCTGCCGGACCCTCCTGGGCGGCGTGAGCAAGGCGTCACCGTCAGCATCACGTTTCTTGCGGATCTTGCTCGCCTCAGCGGGAGGGGCCTTCTTCGTCTTCCCGAGCTGCCCATCTCCACCAGGGACCTCCTTCAAGAACAATGGACGGACCCAACGGTTCGCTTCGCCCAGTTCCGAAAGCAGATGGACCACATTCCTCATCAAAGCCCCCTTCTTGATGATCGCACCATCAAAGGAACCCGCATTTTCCACAGTTGTGGCATGAGAGACAATCTCCGAAGGAAGAGCCACCCTGTTCTTCTTGTCTGTCGGGTCGACGCCAGCTCCGTAGCAGAGGAACCCCTCAGTCGCGTCCGAGTTGATGTCGATGGACCAATAGGCATGATGGTCCCAGAACTCCTGCTGTTGCTACTTAACCGTGATCACATCAACAAAGCAGAAGGACAACTTGATTCATCATTACTTAACTGTAACAAGAAAACTCGCCATTTATAATTTAGTCTGTCAGACTGTCAGTGCCCATGCATGTCACGTAACTCCAGTCCTGGACCTTGTCGCTGATGGGCCTCCAGTCTTTGGCACGCTTGCCAAAATCAGCCCATCTTTCCTTGAACTCTTCGAGGAGCCGGCTCAAAATCTTTGTCGGAAGGGCCGATGTTGGACTCATGTGCACAAGGAACGCAAGGATCGCTGCCAGCTCCTCCTTCTTCGTCTTTCGGGGAAGGACCTTCAGCCATTGATGGGCCTGCGGGAGCAAGTCGGAGAGGATGTCCAAGAGCTTGGGCTTGGAGATGAGCCTGATCTTGTTCATGTAGGGAGCCAGTCTGTCCTCATCCTCGTCGTCGCTGGAGGAACCATCCCACACCCCTTTCTTGACGGACGCCAACATTGAGGAGCACTGCGCTGGATGGGCCCGCAGCCATTGGATCATCTCTTCCAGCGTGGCCTCCTCCCCCTCAGCCATCGTCGTCTTCGCTGCGCAGCGAAGATTCTTCTTCGCGGCGGCCTCCTTAAGAAGGACCTTCTTCTCCATCTTCTTGCTCGCAACACCTTTCTTCATCGCCTTCGGCATTGCTCACTGAAGGACCACCGGTTCAACTACTCACAGACAGTTAGTTGACTTCGAGGGACGAAGGCTTGATCACGAGAGCTGCGCGCAGTAAGATTTCAATGAAAGACCTGCGCTTCGCAGATTTCCGCTCCGGCTTGAAACAATCTTCGTCATTTATCTCAGCTGCCAGCAGTCAGCAGAACCATGTCCTTCTGCGACGATTCATCGGGGGAAGAACCTGCGAGAAGGGCACGCTCGCATTAAAGGATCCCTAAATTTGATAAGCAGTTGCATACATCAGACTGGAAACGATGAGAAGAACCATAGCTGAGTCCGTGGCGGAGTTCGGAGGCGGGTTCGAAGGACCTGCCGGCGGAGAACACGAGGTAAGGTTTCCAAGTTGACCTTTAACTTATTATTATGAATTCTACATATAAATGTATATATATATATATATGTGTGTTTCTTCATCGTCTGTGGGCTTGGCGTGGGTCCTGCTGCAGTTCTACATTACATCATCACCTCGTCTGTGCTGACCACGCACGGTACTTTTTTTCCTGGCCTCTTGAAGTTCGAAGGCCGGCTCCAAATTGAAACACTTTTCAATAGCGGCAGACTGCCGGATGGCCCCACACAGTAAGACGGAACTGATCAGTGACAGTACAAATTCAGGATACTAAACGTTACTCTACTATACTAACTTTTATGAATCTCGTCGAGGGCCTACTGGATGGACCCTGGCGCTCGAATTTCAATCATCAAGAAAGTCCCAGGGGCAGGGGTCGTTCGGATGAAGTGCCTCATGGCGTGTCCATACGCCGCGAAGCACCAACCGTGCTGGAACGCTTTCTTTGCCACATCTGCCCCACGACCTCGATAGACTCCAATTGTAGCTTTTATGGAAGGCCCTGATGCATTTGTTGAACTCGTCCCTGTACATGCGGTACTCGGCAGGTGCGAAACGCTGAAGAACCTCAGCAGGCCATGCTTCATCTCCCGGGAACCGGACAGCCTTGCGCTTGACCTTCTTCTTCCCAGCAGGCCGCAGCCGCTGGATGGACCTTGTGATTGAGAGGACCTGCCTCTGACTGGCCTGGGCTTCCTTGATTGCCTGCTCCAGTTTTTGTTGGTCCTGCTTTGACTGAAGGACCTCGTTGAACAGGGGGTTCTGGAGAAGGTCCAAAAGCTCTGCATCGTCTTTTTCACGCTCATGCAATGCGAGCTCCAGCGCATCCGCCGCTTTCTCATCGGATGGACCCAACACGCATTTGATTCCTGACAGGAGAAGGTCCCCCACCAAAGACTCATCCGAGGAACCCATGTCCTGCCCGAACTCCTCCTTCAACAGCAGTTTCAGGACCGTCATCGATACATTCGGGAACCGCCTCTCGGCGCAATACTCCAGAATGTCTTTCTCAGACCCACTTGGCCACAAAAGAGGGACCTCGTGCTCGGATGTGTCCTTTGTTCGGACCGAATGTTCCAAAGGACTTATCGCCGAGGCAGGCTGGACGGACCACTCATCGAATATACACACCTGCACCCAATGAAGCCTCTCGGCGGTCACAGGAAGGACCTATGCCAGGGGCCGTTCAGTTAAGTTTCAAAAAAATTGCCATGCCCAATTTAGTCTGCCCAATGTTCCACCCCCGGGCCTGCCAGCCACCATGTGCAGTCTGATGGACCTCCATGGTCAAGACGCCGGCATTGCTCGGCCAGGCGCCCATGCTCAATCTCGGCTTGCTCCAAGACTTGTGTCGCACGAGAAGGCCCATGGTCAACATCGCGCTCCGCCATGACTCGGACCTCGGCACTGAGCCGTTATTTAATTCAACTACACTCTTTTCCGCTGCCATCGCTCGTGCTCTCTCTATCTCTCTCTCTCTCTCTCTCTCTCCCTCTCTCTCTCTCTCTCTCTCTCTCTCTCTCTCTCTCTCTCTCTCTCTCTCTCTCTCTCTCTCTCTCTCTCTCTCTCTCTCTCTCTCTCTCTCTCTCTCTCTCTCTCTCTCTCTCTCTCTCTTCTCCCGCTCTCTTCCATTCTCTTTCAATCTCTCAGCTATCTCTCTCATTCTCTCTCTCTCTTTCTCTCTTTCTCTCTTTCTCTCTTTCTCTCTTTCTCTCTCTCTCTCTCTCTCTCTCTCTCTCTCGCGCGCTCTCTCTCCCTCTTCGCCTCGCTCCAACAGCGCTCGGGCGTCCGCGCTTGTTCCTCCCTCTCTCGCTCTCACTCATCTCTTCGCGCGCCACGATGCGCGCGCCTCGCGCAGCCGCTCTCGCGCTCCGCGCGCGCGTCGCCCTCTTTCGTCGATCGCGCGTCGGACCGTAACCTCTTACGGTCGCTCTCTCGCGCGCTCGCGCTCTCTCTCGCGCTCTTTTCTCGCTTTCTGTTGGTGTCTCGCTCTTTCCTCCGCTCGCCTCTCTCTCGCGCGCTCTCTCCATCTCGCGCGAGCTCGCTCTGCTCGCTCTCTCTCGCGCACTCGCTCTCCGCGGGCGCGCTGCCCGCGGGCTGCCCCTCGCGCACTTCGCGCCTCTCGCGCGCGTCTCGTCTCTCTCCTCTCTCTCTCTCGCGCGCGCCGCGCGCGCGCGAGCTCGCGGTCCGGGGCGGGGCCTCGGCTAACGGCTCTGGCTCGGGCGCGGGCGCTGCCGCTGGCGCGGTCGCGGGGCTGTCTCGATCGCTGTCCGCTGTCTCTGTCCTCGGTCTCGCGCGCTCGATCTCAGCGCGCGCGCTCTCGGCGCGCTCCTCTCTCGCGCCGCTCTGCGCGGCCCGCGCGCCCGCTCCCTCCGAGCCCTCGCTCCCTCGCCCGCGACCGTGCTTTCCCTCCCGCCCCGGTCCCCTGGGGGGGGTCCCCCCCCCGGTCCCCTGGCCCCTCGCGGCTCCCTCTCCCCCTCTCCCCGCTTCCCCCCCCCCCCCCGTGCCCCCCCTCTCCCCTCTCCCCTTTCTCCCCTCTGCTCTCCCCTCTCCCCTTCCCTCTCCCCTCCCCTCTCCGCTCTCCCCTCTCCCCTCCCTCTCTTCGCCGCTGCTGGGGATTAATAGAACCAAGGATTTAGGAAGGACACTGAAAATAAAGTGGCAGAGCGTTGCAGAAAAGACGAGTCACAAGAGATGGACCTTGTTGGACTCCACCGCGTCGCAGAGAAGGGCCAACTCACAGGCAGCGCTGGCAAGGCTCTGTTGCGTCATGCTGCTCCAAGTCGCGGGGCCTGTGATTCTGCGTAGACGCTCGTTTGCCTGGCGTCGCTGGATGTGGAAGAGGGACGCCGGCCAGGTGATGTCGGGAACATCCTCGCGAATCTCCACCTCCTTCAAGCCTGCAGCGGGAAGGACCCGAGAGAACGACAACGTCTGCCAGAGATCGTTGTCCGCCATTTCATGGGCCTGGTTGTCTGTTTCCTCTTTTTGACGGGCCTTTCCAAACGCCTCCTCGTTCCACGTCGCACCAAACCCAGAAAAAACCTTGGTCACCCAGCCTGTGACCTCCTTGCTGATGGTCCAATTTGCACGCTGAAGGGCTGCCGTCACATCCTTCATCACTTGCAATTGGAAGGGCGAGCGCCTCACGTACGCTTTGCACCACTTGGAATTGGTCCTGCACGCAATCTGGTGCGCGGAATAGGAGCGGTACAGATGAACCAATGCTGCGTTGGCTGTGGCCTCACATGGGGACGCGAGAAGGACCAGTCGCTGAGGATATGAAAACAGAGGAACCGAAGCGTAGAGAAGCTTCTGCTGCAGAAGGGCTAGCATCATGTCTAGCATTCTCTTTCTCAGGGCCGCCTGGCGCCGGACTTCAGGATGGGCCAGGTCCATCTGGCGAGCGAACCCTCCCAGCAGCTGACCTCCAGACCACAGGCCAAGGAAGGACCACACGTCAGGTGAGTTCATCTGCTCCAGGATGCGGTTGCAAATGTCCAGCGCCGCGCCTTCTGATTCCGACATCTGAGCCTTGAAAGCTCCACAGGGACCGCTCTGCAGTTCTGTTCGGAGCGTGTGAAGGGCCTCAGACTGTGGAAGCGACAGGAAGAACCATGCATCCAGGTCGAAGCGAAGGCCCTCGTTAACAAGGGCCATGCAAACACAGTGCAGCTTGTTCGAGCAGCGTGCCCAGAGCTTCTGTCGAGTCTCCCCCTTCATCGTCCCCGCCTGGTCCTCCTCGGGGGCCTCTATGGATGGACCGGGGTTCCGTGTCTGGCTCATCTTCCCTCCCAAGAAACCCATTTTCACACCATAGGAGATGAGCAACAGGCTGAGGAGGGACAATTCCGGACGAAGGGACTTCCATCCTTGGTGGAAGTTGTCCCACCGGGATGTGGTGGAAGGACCTCGCGCATGAAGGAACCGACATTCTCGAAGACGGGCCTGGCACTGCTCCATGGTGGTTTCCGCCTCACTCCAGCCCAGGTCACGGGCAATTCTGGGTCGGAAATAGTGCAGAAGGGCCGACGACTCAGGCGTTCCACTTGCCTCCAACATCAACACAAAGTCCACGCACTCCTCCTCAGAATTCCCGACTTACTTAGCACCACTCTCTCTCTCTCTCTCTCTCTCTCTCTCTCTCTCTCTCTCTCTCTCTCTCACTCTCAGTCTCTCTTTGCATTTGGATGTGTTTTTTTCGTACTTATTATGAGTTAATGGATCGGAATACCTGACTGACAAGAAGCCCAGCCTGGAGGACCCGAAACCAGCGATGACCAGACCATGGACCACGGGAAAAGTTCAGGATCATCTCTGCGACGCCCAGCGAGGACTTCAGATGGACCGTGTGCGCGATGCTGTTCTCCAGCTCTCGCGCTAATCTGTGCCGTGGCTCCCATAGATGGACCATGCGGACAGAAAGACCATTTTGCAGAAACTGCAACGCACTTTGAAGGTCCGGTCCAGCATCCGACGTCACGACCAAGGTAGGAAGGAGCCTCAAGTCTCTGTCCCCAGCTGGCTTCGAGAAGGACCCAAGACCCTCCTCCAAAGCAGGAAACATGCACTTCAACGTCTGGTCGAGGCCCACCACTTGCTCATAGGAAGGACCACGGGTCTGCTTGGCAACTACGGGCTGGGCCGTTGTGGGAGCAGTGGCCTCTATGAGTTTCAAGCTGTCGAGGAACCGCAAGCTGCTGGCATCCAATCTCTTCTGCTCTGCAGCAGAGGGACCTTTATCAGAGTCAGGGGGACGGTACCCGCCATCTTGGAACCGCAGAGGAGGAGCCCATGCAGAAACCCCGGTGTCCGCATCCAGCACACAGTACAGCCAGCGCTTGCGTCCGCCAGCTCTTCCGCCGTCCAAGCCCACGTGGACGAAGTGAGCGTTGTTGAAGAGCCGTCGTGCGGAAAGGAGGTACCTGCTCCGCTCTTTCTTCCTCTGCAGCGTCTTTGTGAAGCGTCGGGCCGCCTCGGCCTGCATGCGGAGCCGTGTCCGCTGCGCCTCCGTTTGAGGGGCCTTGCTGCCCTTTCTTTTGTTGGCATTCCAGGCTTTGCCAAGAGCGGCCTCCATTCTCTTCTGACGGACCAGAGGGTCCCGCATGTCCGCCTCTGATTGGACAAAGGCATCCTTGTCTGCTGGCGCTTTGTGAAATTGAGAGAGATGGACCCCGATCTCCAACTCCCTAGAGACCCCATCTATCAGGTCCCACAGCAGCCATCTTAAGTCCTTCAAGGGCCAGAGTGCATGAAGGACCTCCTCCAGCCGCAGCTTTTGTCGCAACCTGAGAGGCACCTGCCTTTTGCAGTGCCGCATTCGCTCCTTGTACGCAGAGCGCTGGGTCACCTCCCCGAGGTCCACAAGGCAATGACGAACCCGCACCGATTGGGCGCTGTTGTTCACACGCAGCTTCACACGTTTCGGCAGCAGTTGCTCGAAGACCAGCTTCAGCCACTCCTTGCAATGCCGGTAATGCTTCGTGAGAAGGACCATGAGGAAGACCATGAACCTGGTAGAAACGAAAGCATCATGTCCTTGACGCGTGTCCCTGTCATCGGGAACGGCCGCGCTTTCGGGCCAAACTATGTCGTCACGCCCCTGAGTCTTATGGTCCGTGGAGCCCGCCACTTTGCGGGCATTGAAAGCCGGGATCCAGGATTTACGCAGCTTCTTGAGAAGAACCTTCTTCTTCACGTTTGTCAATGCCCGAAGCAGCCAGTAGCACTGGCACTCGTGCTGAGGAACCCACTGGAAGCACAGAAGTGTCAAAGGTCTCTCCTCGAAAGCACCACGCATCGTGTCCTGGGGATACAGGAGGCTGTGGGATCTACGATGGTCCTGCAACCATTCCAGGGAAAGACCATCATTGGCCGCCTGACTCTTCCTGACAACGAAGAGCCTCTCCAGCAACTCCTCCGACTTGCAGGACCGTTCATCCTCGAACAAATGATGCTTCAGCAAGCTGCTTGCCCACATCGGCGCAGCCCCATCAATCTCCAGATAGGCCATGCCATGCTCGTTAAAGTGGAGTCCCAGAAAGGCGTTTGGTAGACGGACCACCTCCCCAGTCGTCTTGTGCCGAAGCAAGCCTTTCTGGTCGTCTTCATAGAAGAGCAACTCAAGGTGCTCCAAGTGAGGGACTTCCTTGCACTTCTCGACGAGTGGGTTAGGAGGCTGGCGGGCCATGCTCACAGCAATGAGAGGCCTGCTAATGAGATTTCCTTACAATGCATCTATTACAAATTACTTTCATGAAAGAAACTGAAGAATTTGAATGAACTGAACGTAGTGCATTGGCCTACCACTCTCAAGTCGGTGCTGCTGTCTCATAGACTCAAGCTGTCACACAGCAGATAGGAATGAAGAACCCAAAGGAAGACCCAAAAAACAAATTGATTCTTTGGAGTTTTTCCAAGGGTTGAGGCATCGAATCAGGGTTGGGTTTGGGGCAACAATGCTTCAGCTTGCGGACTTTTTCTTGCTTGGGGGGGGGGGGGGGGGTCTCAGGGTATTTTCATTCGACCTGCAAGAACCTCAACCAATTCAAAGGCCTCGTCTTTGTCCAGCACGAGCAGACGCATTCGTCAGGATTCCTGAGAGGGACCTGGGCCGCAGCTGCCTTAACTGGAAGCCTGACTTGCCTCATCAATGGTTTGGGGCCACTTACGAGTGACTGACAAACAATACAGTACGGAACTAACCAGGAGCAGCAACCCAAAACGAAGATCTGCGAACCGTGTGTCCACGAACCCGCGCACGAACCCCAAAGACAGCAAACAGGAAGCTTAGCACGAACCCTGCCACGAACCCAAACAGATGGTTCCACGAACCCAAGCCAGGGTTCTGCGAACCCTGGCTTTGAATTGAAAATCAAAAGGAACCCGGGCTTCGACGAACCCTCCGGCTACGAACTCGGCAGGGTTAGTGGCGAACCCCGCCCGGCCTGCATACGAACCCCGGAAGCCTCCATTGCGAACCCGCCACATGCTCGTTGCGAACTGCCCCCACCCATGAAGCGGGAAACCGCCAAGTAAACAAATCCATGGCAATGCCGTGGAGCAGCCCGAAGTGAGGCGCTTGATGGACTGACCACCTGGGCGGAGCAAAGTAAAAGTCGAGCAAGGCACGTTTCAAAGTTTCTCTTGTGTCAATGACTGACCATGACTTGTGCACGACAGAAAACGAAGCAGTTTCTTTTTAATTCTTCACCGCAGTCACGTGGGCAGCTCCAGGCACTTCCGGGCCTGGAGCTGCCCTGGGGAGAGGGGCCGCACTTAAAAGAGCAGCCAGAATCATCAGACCCACCGTCTGCAAGCTCATCGCATTCCCGACATTGTTTTGATGCACGTGCTGCAAAGATGGGCCGCTGAAGCCCATGAGAAGGGCCGCCTCACGCGGCAAGAGGAATCGTTTCAAACACGGAACCCATAGCTTACTATTGCGCCGGAAGGTCGGGAGGGACCCGTGTCGTGACGTCCAAAGACAGCAGTGCTCAGGATTCTGGCTCAGGTCGAAGACACAGCCGTCGTCGAGATCAGAAGGACCACCATGAAGCTGTCTCCACTTCGCTTCATAACCACTCAAGTGCCTGCCATTCACAGACATTGTCCCACGAGAGCTGCACTCAGAAAACCCATTTAAAAAAAGCTGCAGACCTTACCTGGACTCACACGCTTGCTGTGCCTCTGCTGGCTCTCTGTCAGCAGGTAGGACCAGTCATCTGATGGGCCAGAGCTCAGGGCTGCCAGCTGCCGCTGCTCCCTGATACTGTTCTCCATCGCGACCACGTCAGCAGGCGGCGTGTGCTGCCAGAAGATGGACGCAGGAAGGCTCCCCAAGCCTTTGCGTAGGGTGCAGCAGAGGATCTGATAGACCTCGCCTGGATTGAAGAGCACCTCTACCTTCTCCCGATGGTACACGATGGACCACACACGTGGGCGGGCCATTCCAATGTGACCCCAGTCAGCAGGGCTCCCTTTCAAGTGAAAAACCTGAAACTCCGGCAACGCTGCATCGAGCATCTCCATCCTGGGCCAGGGCTTCCAGCGAAGGCTCTAGTAGTACTTGTGACAACTTGGACCTATACACGGCAACCCACCTTGAATATTCAAGTCGAAACTCGGAAATCCCCATACATTCTCATGCAGGGCCCAGAAGAGCCGGTGCTGCTTGACCATTGCAAGCCAGCCAAAGAGGACGTTGGTTCTGGGATCATCGATTCCTGCAGGGGGCCGGCGGTGGATGTAACTATTGACTTGATATCAACATCTTATGATATCTGACTCAAAGTCATGCTCCCTGGCCTCGCTTGGCTCCCATGCGGGACCATGGCTGGCAGGGACTGCCACAGATGCTGCCATGGGTGCGTTTAGGAACACACCGGCAACCAGCATGGCGTTCGCAAGATGAGCCGTTACGTGCGTCGAAGCTGTCGCAGAAGTGACGGACCTTGCTTTCCGCATTACCTCCTGTCTTCTGCTTCTTGCTTTCTGGGAAGAAGTCATAAATGGAGGACCAAAGATGCCCCGTGTCCTGCAAAAGCAAAGCCCTTTGGCAATCGGGGTCCGGATCCATTGCATAACGACAGATGAGCCGCACGGGCTTCGGAAAGACCTTTGCCGATGCTTCACGAATCTGCTTGCAAGCGATTTCGGCAGTGCCCAAACCAGAGCAACACGTAAAGTACGTGGATCTGTGACCCAGGAAGGACCGCTGCCAGTCCGGAAAGTCCTTGCTCACGCTGCTCAATACCACCTCCGCCCAACCGAGGAAGGGCTTCATTGCCGGAGCGTCCTCCATCAACCACTACAAATCAAAGCCCGAAGGGCGGAGGTTCTCTTTGAGCACTTGGGCTCATCATCAAACATCACTGTGATTCATGCGCATGAGTCAATGTTTTCCTGTATTCCTGGAAGGTCCGTCTCTCGACTGAGGATCCAGCTCGATTGCTGAGGCAGAGGCTGGGTGGAAGAACCTGAGTTTCTTAAGCTGAACGACGTGACTCGCAAGCCATCAAAGCAAGCACTTTGACTTCCAAGAATGCAAACCTGCACGTAAGCTGTCTGGAACGATTGCTCTATCTACACTTATGCACCATACCCACCAAGCACCGGGCCGCCGCATCAGAGAACATGCGCCGTGACAGCGCATGAGTCCAAGAACAACCTCATTCAAAGAGGCTTTGTGACTCTTCAATGCAATTAATTAACTGGTATATATTTTGTAACAAACAGAATGAATCAAACAATTTCTGTCAAGTAAGAATGTTCATAGAGAGACACCGGTACTAAAACGAATGAATTGCAATGCGCCGCGACGGCGCATGGCCGGCATTGCACCGTGACGGCGCAAGACGCAAAGGGTAACCCACTCTATTTCGAAATCTCAATTTAGAACTTTGTCTGGTT